AATAAAAAGAGTTGGGAGATGGAATATGGATGGATGATGCATATGTAGCTAGGATCTATCTGCTTGTTGCGGTGCTGCATGACGCGATCTGCGACGCGCGCGTGGATGCTACTATGTTTATATGAGTTCAAGATTCTTGAACTCATACTCATACCGCGTCGTGGAATCTGAGCTGACTTACATGGGTACATACAGCGGCCGGGCACTTGGTAATTGTACTATAAGGTCCTTGGAAGTTGGCACCGCTCCCCATGGCCACCGCGTATTGGCATTGAGACTTGAGTCGTCGCACGAGGAGGAGCCAACAAACGCGATAGTTGTATGCGGGTGCGATACTGTAAGTCGTACGCGTCCATACATACCGTAACTCACTCCAACTTCCATCCCGCCAGTCGTACCTTAAGCTGCTTGGGGATGCCGGCGATCCAAGCGACTGAAATAAAGTAAAGTCCCCCTCAGTTCCCTCGCAGTAGTACTTTCGGACGGAGTTGAACATCATGTGAGGGCCCAGTGAAGCATCGTCGAGAAGTCTGCCCAGAATATAAATACTGTATAAATATCCATCACCGCGCCTCCAATCCCGATCCCAACATTGCAGCCTAGACTCTATCGAGACGCGACGCGGAGATCAAACGCGCCGCTGAGCATCTGTTATTCCCATCACCCTTCCCGCCACTGCGTCCGCGTCCGTCCGCTCGGCGTTCACCGATATATTTCTTTCGAGGCGCGTCATGATACCGATGGGCATGAAACGTGCGAGCAGCCAGGAAGCGGGCGCGTAGGCCTCAGCATGGGAAAGAGTCGCGTCGCGTCGGTGTACAAATGCACAGAAGCGAGCTCCGGAGAAATTGGCCTAAATTGGCTCGAAATATTAATGTATATTGTATTGGTGTGGAGCAGGTTGAACGCAACCTGCCGGGAACTTGCCGTCGTGGCTGTGCCAAAAAACACATGTGAGCATCCTGTTTAGACGCCGGGTCGCCGATGCCAAGAGCTGTCAAGACGCGGGGTTATCTGAATCCGCTATATACCCGGCATTCGTCCGGCCAACACTTTTGTACCTCGATTGCACAGAGCGCGCGACACCGCTCTCATAACGCATCCGGTGACCGACTCGGACCACCCGCGTTCTCATAATTACCTTGCGCGGTCGACACTTGAATCACAACGATGGCACAAGGAACGGACGGCACAGAGACCATCATATCATATGCAAGCATATGCACTGGTTAGTGGCTCAGCGGACGATACTTACCTTACACATTTTTCTGAGTCTTAATCATGCACTGGTTATCAACGGACCGTTTTTATCATGATATCATCCCACCCACAGAGACCCACAGCCTGATTATCCGCTTGTTGGAACGGCGGCATCCGCACCGGTCACAAAGCGATATGTATCTGTCTTGGGCGGGTCTCGGGTATATAGTCAGGAATAATTAATTTAATTGTGCAGTTTGCATCCATCCTTGGTCTAGTCCTTTTTAGTGGCTCCGGTGGATGCGGATTTACTGACAGGTTTCGCCAGGAACGAGATGCGTTTATAGATTCGTTCGGGAACAGGGCCGGTGCTAGTGATTGGCGGTATGATTCCCAGAACATAACCGTGTACCACTGCAAATGGGGAAACGCGTTTGGGCAAGCAAAAAAACATGGTTCCGAAAAAATGATTCCGAAAGCTAGTTTTTCATAATAAATAATGTTGCTCATGCACCAGCAATGCCTCTTCCCACATTTTAAAGACATCAAGCCATTGTTAGATGTCGGGCCGGATCAAAATAGATCGCTTTGACCGTGACATCACGATCGTCACAGGATCGTGGTTGACACAAACCACCAGCACTACCTCAGTGAATCGAAAATGCCCATCTTTAACCTCCTCGCCTTTATTTATATCCTCTGCTCGACTTTTTCTAATGCAGTCGAATCCAGCCCTCGCGACATACAGTGCCAACCATTTCACACCGGCACAACCTTCGACGCTGCCAGTTTCAGCTCCCACTTTACACCGATCAGCCCTGAAGGGTCCTATGCTCTGACGGATAAAGGACTGGAGATGTATCTCTACAAGCCGAATGGACATGTTACCACCTCAGCCGGCGTGAACGACAAGATTGGAAACGGGGCGACGATTAACTCGACTTTCGTTTTATCGTGAGTACAGATATTTACTATCTGGACGTTTAACAGAGTATCCACTAGCTCGGGCAAAGTCACATTCCAGGTGTCCTCTCCTCTCCTCTCCGGCGTGATTGTTGCAGGGATCCTGATCGGTACGTACATACCCGTCGGACGTCGCTGTGCGGGACTACTCAATGATATCAATACGCAGGTGATACGTCTGAAGACGAGGTTGATGTCGAATTCGTGTGCGGCGAGCCAAACAGCTGGCAAACCAACCTCTTCGTTCCCGATCCGCGGGACTCCAAGCCGGAATACGGTGTATTCAGCTCGAGGGAGCAAGTCGATAATATTGAGAAGCTTCATTTATACAGTATCGACGTAAACGCCGAAAGGATTTCTTGGAGCCTTGACGGACGGGTTGTCCGCACATTGAATAAGGGTGAGTATCTTAGTCCGTTGGCGCCTCTTAGACCTTCAGTTAACTGTCCACCAAGATAAATGCACCAAAAACGGCTTTTTGCACTATCCAAGTCACACTATGCGCCTGCAACTTGGGATTTGGGACGCGAGCAGTCCTGCAGGAACGGCGGAGTGGGGGAGGGGGCCGATTGATTGGAGCCGCGCGCCGGATAGAGTCACTGCCACTGTTAAAAGTGTTGCGGTAGAGTGTGGCTTGTGATATCCTTTTTTGTACTCGGTTGTATGTTTTGTTGGGTTCGTAAGTAGTTGGTTCATCGCGTTGATGCAACCGTGGGAACTTTTGGCTTGATCATCGTCAGGTGATCGCGACTTCCGCTCTGCGCCGTAGTTGGCTTCATGATGTTTGTAGAGGGCGATACGCGCTGGTCTAGGGCGACTCCTTCTTCTTCGCCCCCCTCATCACCCACTGCGTACAACGACTCGTCCCCGGCGTCGTCCCCAGGCCCAGACTACGATGACTCTAGGTCGTTCCACTGCGATGATGCTATACCCCCACAACGCGCTTCGCCTCTCTTGCACCCATTTGCAGCCTCTGCTAAGGGTTCCCGGAACCCACCAGAGTACGAGAAAGGCGGCAAGAAGAGTCGCAGGATGTCGCCATCCTCCCCAACACGAGCTCGCGTAAAGAAACCACGTCTGGTTGGCCCCGAGGCATCCTTGGAGACCCTCGTCGCACACTCACCTCGTCTCTCCATGTCACAGAAGACGGAAGAACAGACGGAGGCTGAGATATGGGGGGACGCAAGTGCTGCGATGGTGGATAACGGGCAGGGCACGATCGACCTGGAGTAAGAGATTGACATTTGCCTTCGCGCATCCTCTGACACGCCTGCAGCAAGTCAAACCTGAATACTATTCCGACGCAATTCATAGAAGATCTCCATACCTTCTGCGTTTTGGAAGAGAAGGCCGAGCGGTCAAATGCTCGGAACGTTCGTCCACTTGCTCCTCCGCCGTTACCGCCAGTACGGACATTCGGTCGGGCAATAACCGCTCCCGCGATACTTGGTTCAGGGATATCACTCTCTCGTGTACCCGACCGCACAGTTGGCGTCGAGCGACAAGACATACGACTGTTCCTAGCGAACAACAACATATCGGTATTGCCTCTTAGGTTGTTATATGTTGAGAAATTGACGTCTCTGAGTCTGAGTAAGTCGTACCCTTTCTGATTTACCACCAATTGGTCTCAACATCCTTAGGAAATAATCGTCTCAAAACTCTGCCTCCTGAAGTGTGCCATCTCAAGAATTTACGCACGCTGAATCTAGCAGGAAATCTGCTTGAGTACCTGCCCGCAGAGATCTCTCAGATGACGTTAGACACCCTCATCGTTTTCCCAAATCCATTCAAACAGGAGGAGGGTTCATCGACGGAGTGCCGAGGGCGCATTGCAGTCTCGCCGACGACTCGGATGTCATCGTCCGTCCCCCGTCTCGTCGAGCTCGCCTTTCGGTCCCTTTTCTCTACCCCGTCCGGTCTCCAAACCACAGCAAACCTCGGGGACCGCCAGCTCGCTCGGACTTACGAGCTCCCTCTGTGTGAGGACAGCTATGTTGACCTTGCCGCATCTTCGAAGAAGGAGTTTTGCAAATTAATTCCTCCTCATTTGCGACGCGTTCTTGAGGCGATCCATCCCGGGAGCGTAGATCTCGACCCATCTTCCAAGCCCGACGATAGTCCACCAGGTCTGGGAGTTTGTCCTGGCCCTCACCATCGTCTGAAGACGTCGGTGTTTGTAACGCCGGCCGAAGAACGATTCACCTGGGAGAAGATTGTGGCAGGGGCTCATATAGGCGGGAACGTTCCGTTGAAGTGGCGAGGATGTTTGCGGGGGTGTTTAGACTTTTTGAGCATCGAGGGTGGTGAACAGAATGCGGACGAAATGGAGGTCGACAGGCAGAGTGGAGAGCCCGAAGCGGCTACACATTGGCGGGGCGCAGTACCAGGGGGATTCGGGGAGGTTGACTTTGAGGATGGCGAGTGAACCCCCTTGTAATTGTTGTATCAATTCATCGCGGAGAGGAAATGAAGTGCTCATATAAGCAGAATTGGATCCTCACTGTGTTTGACAGGTATCTTTGAAAGTTTGGTTTGACCAGTCTAGCGCATCCTGCTACCAGAAAGTATCCTCCTTCAAGCTTGCATATTCTCATTCAAGTTCTCATCCGTGACAACTCCGATGTGGATCACCCTTTTTCTTCTTGCCACCTATGGCACCTGGGTATCTGAACACAAAGATTCCCTTCCCAGCCGAAAGCATCTGGGCAGATTCAGGCCTTGTTCAGGCCGTTGAAATCCCGGATACAATGGTACAGCGGTTCAGAGACAACAAAAGACTTTCAACGCTGATCATAGTTTTACCTTGACTAAGCAAAGGTAGACCTGTGCATCATACACTGATGGTGAAGCGGTTATCATGCTTGCCTTCCAAATTGTGCATGTCATTAGGCAGCAAGCGGCAGGGGTTCGACTCCCCTTCAGTGTATTCTTTTTTCATCACCAGCCTCAGGAAGTTTTACGTTCAAGTCCATACATATTTGGTCAATCGTTTCCGTGAAACGATTGAACGATTTCGAAAAATGGATCACAAAAGGTTTTTGTGTGCTAATAAACAAATGGATCCTCATTGTCCAAAAGCGGATAGCGATTACACTTCTGTTTTGTCTTCCTACCCTTTGTCTTCCCCTTCATCGTGGGACCAAGCTAAAATGCGGTGGCGTTGCGGCGGCTAGCTAGCTGCTCCTCATTTATCAGATACATGCAGATGCCTTTCAGTTTATCGTATCTCATCTTCACTCCTCGGCATGTGCGCCTCCCAGGTGAAAATATTCAAATTCACGGACCCATTCGGGACAAGGCAACATCGTAGGCAGCCCCATTTCGTTCTCCACAAGTTGATTTCTTAGCGACGACAGGACCCCCTCTCGTTGGCCTCGTCTTGTCGCTGGTACCAAATCTCTCAGATCCTTCAGGAGCATGCGCCGGCTGCGTGGCTCGGCTTCTACGCCTCCCGAGAATATTCATCATGAACCAGGGCATGACGCTGAGCAATGACTCCTTGCAAGGTTTGTTATTTAGTAGAGTCAGGTCAATTGTTCTCACAAAATCCACTTGTGGTCCCTCAGCTAAATGCTCCGAGATGAGATTAACCGCCCTTCCCCGCATGAGAGAATGCGTCCAAGCATTGAAGCAAAGCATTACATAAGGTACAGGTCAGCGTCAACCAGGAAATGCCATAGGAAACCATGGAGAGCGAAGATAAATATGCAGGGAAAATTGTACGATGTGGTGAAAACATAACACGAAAAATTCGAACAGTTCATGAGTGTTCCACTCAGCCTGGCGAGTCGGGTGAGCCCGAGCCACCAAACTCACCCACCCCGCTGCCACCTGTGAACATGGCCTTCAGCGTCATGTCATTTCTCTTCTGCCGCACCCGCTCGGCCTCCTCTGCACCTCCAGTCATCTTGAGTTTCTTGCCTGCAACAAAGTCGCTCAACTCCGCCTGCATCTCGTCTGATCTGCTGGCGAGCTCCTTCTCTCTACTCTTCTGGCTCGCTTCGATGGCCTTCATCCGTCTTTCTGGATCTACAGATGCCCCTCTGATTTCAAGCATCACAGTGCTCAACCCAGAGTGTCCCTCTTCGGGAGGCGGAGGGCGGAAACCCTTCCTTCCACCACGACTGCCAACGGACCCAGGACCTCGAATGCTGATTATCTTCTCCACATGACCGTACACCTCAACAAGCGCCTTGTGGTCCTCGAGTAGGTCCTCAAGGAATTGTTCCTGATGGGTAAGGAATCCCTGCTCATCGACGATGTTCTGCAGCTCCTCCTCCCAAGTTTTCTTCCACATCGGCTTGATCGTATTGATGTGCTCCTTCAAACTCTCCATCTCCGCCGCAACAGAGTCGATATCTTTCTTGATATTGCGGAAGTACTGCGCTTTGGGAGTGATGTGGCGCTTGATAACGTCGTCCTTGACGCCCTCGACGGTATCTTGAAGCTTCTCCACCTCCGTCAAGACATTCTGGCTCCGTGTGTCGAGCTTCTTCTTGCCGGTATCGATATACCCCCGAGCCCCACCCACGCTGGTGCTCGCAAGTTGCTTCACGGACTGCGTTTGCCCACGAAGCGTACCAAGCGATTCCTTGGTGGACTTCATGAACTCGGTGTACAGCTGTCGCATGATGCCCAAGTCTCGGCGCAGATTCTGCACTTCGTCGAATTGGGTTTTGAGATCAGTAACGACCCGAGTGGAGTAGTCGGACAACATTGAGCCACCAGTCATCTGAGGCTGAAGGGACTGGCCGGTCATCTGAGGCTGGAGGACGGGTATGGTAGCAGTAGATGCAGCGAAAGATGACATCCCCGAAGAGCCCTCTCCAACAAACCGCGATAGTCGACGCGCGACATGCTGGAATTGGCGGTCGGTTGGCCGGTTAGGCGCAGGAGTGCTTTCCGCCAACGGCGATGCAACGATGCTAGGTGCATGCATGGACTGCCTATTATTGTTGTGAACGGCCGACTTGAGTTCCTTAATATCTTGGGAAAGATTCGAGATTTGAGCGTCAATGTGCTGTTTGATCTGGTCCAGCGCTACAAAAAGTAGATGATGAGTGACAATACCACCCAGTTAGCGAAGACATACGTTCGATATTCAAAGAAAGTAGACATTTATCTTTGACCTCCCCCATGTCTTCCAGCTCATATTGTACTCCGCTTGACGGATCACGAATATAGATGGCCGGGAAATTCTCGAGGCCTGGGTTGTACGAGAACTTATCGACGAATAATACCCGAAGCGACGGGAACGATAGTCCATGGTCAATTGTCACTTTCTTCACTTCTCTCCCAAGCTGCAAGAAAACAGTCACTCGTGAAGGGTCCCGGGTGGGTTCTGGAGGAACATCAACAGCAGCTTGTTCGGCAATCGAAGCTGGAGGGAGTACAGGCTCGGGAGTCCGCGCGGGTGTGGCGGGCAGTGGAGGTACAGGAGGTGTTCCAGCTTGGCGTCGCTCAGGTGTACTGGGGCTCGAACGAGACCTCGAGCTACCCCTCCGGAGAAGAGGGGCAGCTGGTTCCTCGTCATCCACCTCAGTAAGCACCGCGAGGTCTCCAGGCGTTAACGCCGATGATGCAGCCAACGATCGCCGATTCGGAGCACCCAGTCCGGTTCGCGTGGATCGCTCTCGCGTTGTCGGGCCACCCGTCATTTTCGATATGTTATACGTCGAGAAACGCTTCGATGCTCTGCGTTCCAACGTGTCACTCTTTTTGAGAGCGGCGAGTGAATTAGCCATGGCAGGCGCCTGAAGGACATCTATGGGTGGCGTCTCCGGAGGAGGGGGTGACATCGAGCCGTTGGGACGGTCGGTCTCTGGATTTGGACTTGAAGGTTCAACAACCACAGAAGGGGTCGCAATAGGTTTGTCCACCAGTGAATACCGTTTCATGTTGGCAGGAATGCTTGGTGGTGCAGGGGGCATCACCGTTTGTTCGTTCGGGGAGTTGGAGGGGTATTGCTGTGGATTGAAGGTATCAGCGGGAGGTGGGTCAATGGGAGGCGGAACCGTCCGCGCTTTCCGAGATTGTGAGTCGCCATGGGGAAAGTATTCCCCCGGAGCAATGGACACTGGTTCCTGAGGTTGCTCGACGATTGTCGGCGCGAATCCTCCAATAAAATTCTCTCCGTTCGTTGAGCCGTTCAGTGACGACCCATTGAGTGAGGGTGAGCCAGGATCCTTTCTTCGGCTGGAGGACTGCTGCGTACTCTTGCGAGAAGACGCGCTGTCCCTGTCCCGCAAGTTATAATTTGGTGTCGTAGGAGTATCATTATCGCTGAATGTCGACCTCGAGAGCTGAGATCGATGAGAGCCCTCCCGTCGCGACCTAGAAGAACGGCTCTCTGCTTTATCAGACCCGGACTGCTCAGACGACCGATGCCGAGTGTCCGAAACTATACGTCGGTAAATGGATTGCTTCCCGCGTAATCCTTGCAGCAGATTTGTTATTATCTGCCGCACGGTTGGAAGATAGAGCTCGAGATTATCGGGAGTGGCATCCTCCGCAAGGCATTGCTCCAGAACATTACGTAGGTCATCCGGGACGGTCATTAACTCACTTTCAAAAAAGTCAGGTCAACGACCACGAATGATAAGGGGTATAGCCACATACGCCATGTCGATATTGAAGGCCGCAAAGGCTGCAACTGCAGCGTTGAAGTCGTTCCCTAGTCGGACATACACGTCGCTGACATTGGTCTCGTCGATCTTCAATAAACTCCATTGTGTGAGCGCCTCAAGCAGTTGCTTGATGGCCACGAGCAGACGAGTCACTGCAGACTCGACAGCCGGCTTCAAATCAGGTCAGCCAGGTTGGGGGTAGAAGGTGGACTGCGACGCACATGTGAAGCGCTTCTGGAGCCTCCGCGTTCGCTCCGACTTGATGCAGAATGTGTGGATGACGCGGACTGGTTGTTCTCGCGACGCGAGCTGGTGCTGCCTCCGGGTGCTGGGTTTGCGGGCAGTGTTGTCCTGTTCGACATGGGAGGACGATGTCAGGTCAAGGACATGCAGGTGGAGAGTTGTGTGACTTGGTCGCCGTCACGCGCCGACTTTCTCTCTTCCAAACGACCATGCACTAGTTTTCGTCTTCGTCCTTCCCAAAGACCTTTCTGGCAACAAAACTCTTACAATTACAGTACATACTGCCCTGGCCAATCGACCACCAATTGCAAGTCGTCGAGCTGCTTTAATATCCATTATCGGATGTACCCCTTCCGCGCGAGCATACAACAATTTCCCTACGTTACAGGTACAAGTCGTACAACGTGCATTGAATAATATGAACAGATAACAATGGAATACAAGGAAATGAGACGAGGGTCAGCCCGTGGTGTCATCTTACAGTGGAGCGATCTGAAGAAGGGGAGCGGATGAAGAATCCAATCTTGAGGTGTGGTCGATACATTTTGTCTCGAGACGAGATATAGAGACCGAGAGAGCGGCTGAAAAAGAAACGGGGCGAGTTTAAGGAGCAGGAAATAAAGATGGGCGCCGGGTTCCTTGTCAGCAGCTGCAGCGGCATTGCGCGCAAGATCGGCAGAATAAAGGTAACGAGGGCAATGAGGAGGGCGGGAGACTGAAGCAGAAGGTCACGCTCAGCACTACTCCTCGGGGTCCTCCTGCATGCGCTCACGTTGCCCGCAACCCGTGGAAAATCTCGCCCATACCAGATCTAACTCAACCTTGTCGCGAATCTTCCATGGACCAGTGTCACTATCCACTCACCGACGTCTTTCTGCATCTCAACGCAAAAATCAACTAAATCCTAGTACATCTTCGTATCGTACACAACTCCTCAACATTTCAACAACTACCCTACGTTCGTGCTCCTTTGCCCACGAGAATAACGTCGTCTAGAATATTGTCTTGGAACCCATCGTGTTCAGTCCGCTTGTATCTAGAGGACGATCAGTCATGC